GGTGGAGGGGTGGGGGGGAATGCAATATCTTGAATACCACCTGGAGAGGTACAGGCCAATGTGTCGTATTCAGGAAGAGCGGAGAAAAACAAGTGTGTTTCCTGCCTTCGATAGCTTTTGAGGGTGGGGGGAACCCCATGGGACTGGGTTGCTAAGCAACCAGAAGCGCCACCTCCCTCATTTCAGGATCGTTTCTCTTCTCCGAAGTGGGGCTGAAGATTTGGTACCAGTGACGGTGATGGTGAGGAGAGAGAGGGCAGAGGTTTGAGGAAGGAATGGGAACCTGCAAGTATGCAAATAATCTCGTATCGACAGAGATGCTGAGTACAGAGAAATGTGGAAAGGACGAGCAGAGGGAAGAACTGTAGCCATGGCGAGAAGTGTAGCAGCAGGATCCTTCGGGGTTATGTAGGCAGAGCTGAGATCTGAAGGCAACATCGGAAAAATGAGAGATGTTACTGTTACTCTTTTGTAAAAGCTGGTGCGGGTCACGGTGAATAGAGTGGATGGAGGAGACAGAGAGACCTGGGTTCTAGCCTAGCTTCTAAGACGTTGGCTAGGTGACTATGATATGTATGTGTGTGTAGATGTATGTATATATACTATATATATATACACAATGCACATTTACATATATGTGTGTATATATCTGTGTGTATACATATATTATATATGTGTGTGTGTGTGTGTGTATATATATAAATAACTGTATTTCTGTGCAGTTGGTTTCCTTGGTAACCTTATTTGAAAATGTTATTCTGAGTAGGGATCCATAAGCTTCATCAGACTGATTCCCCCAAAGATTAAGAACCTCTCCTCTAGAACTTTCATATCAGTGGCAGGCTGTCTGATGATGTGACACCACAGGGGGTTTCTGCCCATTGACACCAGTGAACTAACTGATCCAGCCCCACCAGGAGCTGTTCTCTCCTCCCCCTCCCCCCAGCAGAATCTCCGAGCTGGAGAAGACTCCAGAGGTCCTTTGATTAAGTTTATGCTTTTCTTTCTCAAGGACTTTATTCCTCATTTTGCTCGCTCATTCATTCGGACTGTGTATGATCCAGCTAAGCTGGACTTCTTGCTGTTTGTCCCCCATGATTTTTCCATCTCCCATCTCCAGTGCTTTTGCCTGGGCTGTGTTCTGTGCCAGGGATTCCTTCCTCACCTCCACATCTTAGAACTAGTTTCCTTTAAGACAACTCAAGTACCCTCTTTATATGAGGTCCTGATCTCCTTAAGTTGCTAATGCCTCATCCCCTCAAGCTACCTTTTAATTATTAAATAGACATTTAGTACATATTTTTTTCTGTGTACACATGATCTCCACCAATAAAATGTGAACTCATTGAAGGTATTTATTTTACTTTTATCTTCATACCTCTAGTGCTTAGCCCAGGGCCAAGTAGGTGATTAATCAGTACTTGTTCATTGATTTTGTTGAGATGGTTACTAAATATATATATATATAATATACATATATTATAAAAATAATCTTCTTTCTCCTTGACTCCCCCTCTCATTACTTTCATCCCATGCCTAGAGATACCACTTTTAAAAAAGGGAAGCCATGGAGAGAACCCTGAATTCAAGGCAAGGATCTGCCTGTGTAATTTTTTCCCCCTGGATCTTTGAATTAAAAAAACAAACTCTAGTTCTCTCATAATTTTGGTAAAATCTTACTATCTGACTCTGAAGGGGCTGGTCGAGAGGCAACATGATGTTGTAGATAGGTCAGCCATGTCTCAGGGAGGCCTGGATTCAAATGCTGCCCATGGCACACAGTGGCATATGTGATCACGGACAAGAAGCTTAATTCTTAGCGTTCCATAAAATTCTCTAAAACGGTAAGCAATGGGTAAATCACCAGCTCACGTTGGTGGAGGAAGTTTTCACACCTAGAAGTCCCTACAATAGTAACAGAGACCAAGACAAAAATGAGGGACCATAAATGTTGAGCCGAAAGGGACCTAAGAGGGCATGGAGCCCTAGTGCCTTTATTTTCCACAAGATTAAACTGAGGTTAAGTGACTTGGTCAACATCACACAGTCTAGTAAGTATCTGAGGTGGGAATTCAGTCTTTGGGCTTCCTCACTTCAAGTCCAATGGTCTATCTTTTACACCAAATTACTTTGGTCACTCCATCTCTTCTTTTATTTATTTATTTATTAAGGCAATTGGGGTTAAGTGACTTGCCCAGGGTCACCCAGCTAGTAAGTGTCAAGTGTCTGGTATGAGGTCGCATTTGAACTCAGGTCCTCCTGATTTCAGCACCAGTGTTCTATCCACTTCTCCACCTAGCTGCCTCCATCTCTTCTTTTACATGAGTTACTGCTAATGTTCCAAAATCTATTGAAAATAAAGGATTTGCCAGGGGAAGGGAGAGATGAGGAGGGGAGTGAGGCACTGGCTAAATTGATGTAAATTGTAAATCTCTGTCTAGATTTTTGTTCTGATAAGCGCCTATCCGAGCTATAAAATATTTCTGACTGTGCCTTGATTTGTTTATTTAGTGTGGATAGGGTAACGGCAAATTTATGACATTAAGATGAAAATGCACAGCTCAGCATAGGCATCCCATCAACCCCATGAAGGCACCAGAGCTGCATGGGGGAGCTTTTCTCTGTAGCCCTCCAGTATCAGACATACCAGACCTCCCATGGGCCCTGGCAAAGGAGAGTAGATTGGAGAGCTGTGGGGGAGACGTTTGCTTATGCTAATATTTGCCTTGTTCTAGTGACCCATTTGAGGCAGGCCTCCATGCTGGGTTCTTGCTGTTCCTGCCATTCCCTGTTTCTCTGCCACCTCATGCTGTCTCTCAAAAAAGAGCCAGCAGCATGACACGGGGTGCCGCTGAGTATTGGAAAAAAGACATACGCCTGGTGGCATAAACCAGATAGCTGCTATCGGTTTAGATAATTCCGGTCGGTTCTGAAATAGACTTGGCAAAACACCGTGTCTGCTTATGGCGTTGAGACAGTGGATCGGTGCTGGCTGGGTACCTGAGGTGCATTTGTTTTGGGAGTGAGGGCAGCGTCAACAGGGAGGCTGTTGAAACGGATGACTTCAGTCATGAGCTGAATGTGACCCCAGGTTCATATGGGTATCTAGAGCTGGACGGGATTTTGGAGGCCATCAAGTTTAACGTCATCATCTTACAGGGGAGGAAGCAGAGGTCCAGAGAGATGAAGGGACCCTTAGCCTTGGACCTTGCCCAAGGGCACATAGATCATCTATAAGGCAAAGATGAATTGCTACTCTTCCTTGGAGGGAGTTTCCATACTGGGAACCCCCCTCATTGATGAAACCCCAGCCCTGCAAAAGCTACCCAATTAAACAAAGAAAACATACACTAGTATGGTCTAGTACATTCTAGTACATTCAGTCAGGCAAACATAGTGAAAAAAGAGGTTAGTGCTTGGTGGGATGAGAAAGAAGGATGTGTAAAATCTCCCACATCCACCCAAGGGTGGATTTTTCCAAGCAGCAAAGCCAGGATTCAATCCCAGGCAATCTGACTTAAGATTTGGCATTCCTTTTGCTCTATCTCTTCCTGAACTTTTGGCATTGGGAAGATATGGAATTTTGTCAGGGCAGGTACTCCTTTGACCAAGGCAGAGGATCACCCTCTAGAACTTTGTAGATAGGCTTTGAGAATAAAAAGGCAGCTAGATGGTGAAGTGGATAGAATGCCAGGCCTGGAATCATGAAGATCAGAGTTCAAATCCAGCCTCAAACACTTACTGGCTGTGTGAACCTGGGCAAGTCACGTAACCCTGTTTGCCTTACTTTCCCTTTCTGTAAAATGAGCTGGAAAAGAAAATGACAAACCACTCCAGTATCCCTGACGAGAAAACGCCAAATGGGGTCATGAAGAGTCAGAGACGATGAAATAACTGAAGCACAAGAATGGTCAAAACTCTCATCAATATGGGCCATAGGCCAGTCTGTCAATAAGTATTTGGTAAGTGCTTACAATGTGCCAGGCACCATGCCAAGCTCTTGAGATATAAGTAGTCAAACAACATGGTTCCTGTTCTCAAGGAGTTTGCAGTTTAATGTGGGAAGACGGCACATATAGTAATGTTGTGGGTGAGGGAAAGAGGGAACCAGAGGAGAAGGACGGGCATCTATAGCGGCACAAGATTGTTGGTAAGCAGGAGGAGTTAGGATAGAGAGCCCAGGCAATAGGGAGGGCTAGCGTTCTTTCTAAAATGGCCGTCAGGGGAGGGAGCCCTCAATGAGGGAGGGTCCCAGGGCAATCAGTCTCGTGGAGCCTACAGCATCTTTTGCATGAAGGAAATATACTCTTCAAAACTTCGATTCTGTAGTAGATTTGTGATCTCTTCAATGTGGTTTTGGGTACTTCCTTCCATTGGTGTAGATCGCCACCCATCCAACCCTTCCCATCCTTGTATGATCCCTTATCTTTGTCCAGTAGAGATTGTCTCCAACAGGGCAGAGTCCTCCTCTGTGCCTTTTTATATCTTTTGTGGGAACCAATGGAACACCAGCTGTGTATTTAATTAGGCATTTAATTTGCCAAATGAATGAATTTGAATGTATTATGTAAATCAGTGAATAAATATACTTGTTTCTAGGTTGTCTTTTTTTTTTTTTAAATATCCTTTCTGGAGGGGGGGAGGAGGAGGGGATTCTTTTGATGTTTGGGAGTAGACCTGTGCAAATGTCAAATGGGGAGTGTCCTTGCCCGGAGGAATTTTACAGAATATTGTGAGCCAAAAGAAGGATTAAAAAAAAATCACTCAAAAGAAATGAAATATGTTGCTTTCTTAGAAAATAGTTTAGCCATTTTCTCTTAATGTTGGCAATAATAAACCTCCATTGTCATCCTTGGTCTAAGCTAGGTTGGCAGTGACTGGAAGACTCCAGAAGCAGAATCTTAATCCCAGGAGGATGCATGTTTCTGAGTTTGGATGAGTTCTGATGTTTCTGAGTGGCATGTGTAAAGTTTTGGCTTTTTTTTCCCTCCTCTCTACAGGTCCCGTGCCTTGGACAGAATGCGTGCTGTCCCCTGTCAACTCCTCACACCCTGTCCAAGCCCTGTTGGAGAGTTTCACTGTCCTGTCTGGCTGTGCAAGCCGCGGCACAACCAGCCTGCCTCAGGAGGTCCATGTCCTGAATCTTCGGAATCCCGATGAAGGACCTGGCCAGCCTGAGAGAGAGGTAGGTTGGATGTGTTCACTGCCAAAGCCACTGTGCCTTTAATTAGCAAACCCAAAGCCAATGGGCCACTTTTTTTTTTTTTTTAAACTTGAATGCTGAACCAGGGTTACTTTGATATGAACGAGAAGTTCTTTAGGGAGAACTGTTCTGATCTGGGAAAAAGGCTGCTAGAGAAATAGAGAAGCATTTCAAGAAGGGAATTCCTTAGAGGCTCATTGAACTTCAGAGCCTTCCTCTTTGGTGATTGCTTGGAATCTGCCCCAGACTCTGAAAGATTTTTCTTCAAAAATTCATCTTTCAGAGGCATTGGCCATCAGTTATTATAATAATAATAATAATAATAAATAATAATAAATAATAATAATAAATGATGTTTATATGGCTCTTAAAAGTTGTAAAGTGCGTTTCCTATATTACCTCATTTGCTCATTTTATTTTGTCTGTGTTTATATGTATACACTTGTCTCCTCTGAAAGTAAGTGCCTTGAGAGTAGGGGTTATTTCATTCTTCTTGTATCCTCCAGGGCCTAGCTGGGGGTTACAAGCACAGGGGAATGCTAGCACTGTGCCTGGGGCACTATCACATGGTTGAATAAATGCTTAGTGATTGACTAGTAACTAGTCATGAGTTGATCATCGTTGTCAACCCAGTGAGGTAAGTCCTGTGGGAATTATTTTTGCAAATGAGACTGAAAGAGGTCAAGTGACTTTTGGGAGGTTACATAGCTACTGTCAGGGGTGGGATTCGAATCTAGTTCTTCCTGAAGCCAACCATGACACTCTATCCTCTGCACCACGCAATCTCCCTACAAATCAGGAGTTCCTAACTTTTTGCGTGTATATTAGACCCCTTTGGCAGGAATGGTGAAGTGTATAAACCTCTTCTCAGAATTTTGTTTTGTTTTTTTAAATTTACACTTGAAGGAAATGTTAAATATCAATTAGAGGTTAGTGAAAATAAAGATGTGATTTCCCCCCCTCCCCCCATGGTCCTTTTTCTCTGCATACCTGGTCGGTAGACCCCAGTTTAAGAATCCCTGCTATGAATATGTTTCTAAGCTATAGTATTCCAGGGGAACTGTAGGAGGATGGTTGTCATGTAGGGGTGGAAATAGCCTCTTTTTTTTAATGGTCCTGACATGATATAGATTAGGGTGAGTTAGTCAATGTATTTGACAGAATGGGTTTCCCTATCCATCAGTCTACCAAGAAGCATTTATTAAGTGCTTGCTGTGTGCTAGACACTGTGTAGTAAGCGCTGGAGATAGAAAGACCAAAATGAAAATCTTTGCTCTCAAGGAACTTACCTTCAAAGGAAGGAGACAACACTGGGCAGGTATATGGCACAGTGGATTGAGCACTAGGCTTGGAAGCAGGAAGATCCGAGTTCAGATCCTGCCCCAGAAACTTAGCTGTGGCACTGAGCAAGTCACTTAACCTCTGTTTGTTTCAGTTTCCTCATCTGTAAAACGAGGATAATAATAGCACCTACCTCCCAAGGTTGTTTTGAGGATTAAATGAGATAACAATTGTAAAGAGCTTAGCACAGTCCCTGGCACATAGTAAGGGCTATATAGATATTTGTGATTAGCTTTAAAAGGGAGTGGTGGTGGGGCAGCTATGGATAGAGCTCTGGCCTTGGAGTCAGGAGGACCTGAGTTCAAATCCAGCCTCAGACACTTGACACTTACTAGCTGTGTGACCCTGGGCAAGTCACTTAACCCCAATTGCCTCACCAAAAAGGAAGAAAAAAATAGAAGGGAGTGGTGGGGATTAGGAAAGCCAGGTGGGACTTGGGCTGAGTTTTGAAAGAAATGTTTGCACCAGTCTGTTTCTTCATCAGTCCATCAGTCTGACAATGAACATTTAGTAAGCACCTACTATATGCTTGGCACTATGCTCCACAGTTATGTAAATGGCTCATCAGAAGTGTCTGAAATGTTATCACTTCTTCCAGGGAAAGAGAAACCACACAAGCTACGCTCACACTTTGTGGTTGTTCAGTTGTGTCCAACTCTCTGTGACCCCATTTGGGGTTTTCTTGGCAAAGACACTGGGGTGGTTTGTCATTTCCTTTGCTCATTTTACAGATGAGGAAACAGAGGCAGACAGGATTAAGTGACTTTCCCAGGGGCACACAGCTAGTAAGTGGCTGAGATTGGATTTGAACTCAGGTCTTCCTGACTCCAGGCCTGGCATTCTATCTACTGTGCCACATAGCTGCCCTGTTCACACTAGTGATAAAGAAAAACAATTTTTGGCTGAAAATTGTTTGTTGGCCTTTCTTCTGGTCAGATCTGGACAGTTTCCCTAACCATTTATTTAGTATCATTTATATGCCTTCTTCCTCCTCTTCCTCCTCCCCTTTGGGCAGGAATGAGAGGCTGGGGAGAGCAAAGCAAAGAGGAAACAGATTTTGATCTCAAAAAAAGTGTGCAGAGTTGGCTGTTTTTAAAGTAAGATCATTTAGTCCACCCCAATGTGTTGTAAATTATGACTCCTGATTCTTTTGGGGGCATTCCACAGCTGCAGCAACAAACATGGAAGCTTCCATTCCTTTATCCTAGGACCACATCTTTCCTTCTCCACTTCGACGGGGAGGAGAGAACATGTAGGGGGAAAGAGAGGTAAAGAAATGAAGCTCTTAGTGAGGGCTGGGGACTTTAGGGGCTGGGAACACACCCAGTAATTGCTCCTTTATGGATGTTTCATTTAGAGAGATTAAGACACAGTCGTCCTAGCTCACAGGGCCAAGGCCTGGCAATCTTGGTGTTAAATTGTGCAGTACTTGTGTTTACTCTGAAAATAAATTCAGATCAATTGCTGCAGTGAAAGAAAAACATTTCAAGAAAGAACTGGAAGGTTTGCCCACTCTAGTGTTTATCTTAGTTTACTAAGTGAAATCGGCTGCTGCATACCACTTTAGTTTAATTGAGCACCAGCCCTTCTTTGGGTTGGGTTCTAGAAACGGAAAGACAAAAATCAAAAGGTCTCTGTCATCAAAGAGTTTGTAGTAATAATGTTGTTCAGTTGTGTCCAATTCTTCATTACTCCATTTGGGTTTTCTTGGCCATTTTCTTTTCTTTCTCATTTTACAGATGAGGAAACTGAGCCAGGCGGGGTTAAGGGACTTGCCCAGGGTTACACAGCTAGTAAGTGTCTGATGCCAGATTTGATGAGTCTTCCTGATTCCAAGCCCCAGTGCTCTATCCGCTGGGCCACCTAGCCACCTTGTAATTATACTAGCTGGGGTTTCCATATGGCTAATTTACATAGGTTATCTCCATTGATCCTCATTACTACCCTGGGCAGTAGGTGCTATTATTATTCCCATTTTACAGATGGGACCGAGGCCAAGAGGTGAATAGTTTGCCCAGAGCCACAGCTAGTTAAGTATCTGAGTCAGGATTTGAAATTAGGTCTTCCTGACTCCAAGTCCAGCCTTATTCCCTGTTCCCCTTAGCTGCCCAATTATATTGGGGGGTGTGTGTGTGTGTGTGTGTGTGTGTGTGTGTGTGTTTGTGTAGGCATAGATATGTGATGTATACATATTAAAAAAACAGAAAGTAGGGGACTGATGAGAAAGTCATCCAAGAGTCAATAGGGGTATTTGAAGAGAAAAAGAACACGTTTAGGTATTGGAATCAGGGTAGTCTACATAGAGAAGGTGGTAGGAACCTTGGAGGCAGGCAAAGATTCCTAGAGTCAGGGAGGAGATGGGAGTCCTTTAAGGGGGTGGGGTGAAGAATGGTCATCTGCTCTCAGGGAGGGAAATCATTTAGTGTGGCTAGAATGTCCAGGGTGTGAGGGGGAACAATAATGTGAAATAAATCTGAAAAAAGCAGTCAGAGTCAGACAATAGACTTTAAAAGCCACATTTAGGAATTTGTTTTTAACTTAGAGGCCATGGCAGCCATGGGAAGTTTGTGAGCAGGGGAGTGACCTGATGACAATAATAACTGACCATTCTATAGAGCTCTAAGTTTTCAAAGCTGTTTCCCCACATTATCTCTTGTGATCCTCATGTCAGCACCAGGAGGAAGGTGACACAATTATTATTTCCATCAGATGAGGAAATCAAGGCAGATCAGCTCAAGTAAAGTTGTTACTTACTTGTTACTTATTTGTCTCGTAACTACAAAGTGTCCGAGGAGGAATTTGAACCCAGATCTTTCTATCCCAGGTCCAGCGTATCAGTCAGTAAGCACATATTAAGCTCTCACTGTGTACTGGGTGCTGTGCTGAGCACTGAGGGTACAGACAGTCCCTGCTCTCAAGGAGCCTACAGTCTAAGGGGAGAGGCAGCATCATTCGTTCATTCATTCATTCATTCATTCATTCATTCATTCAATAAACATTTATTAAGAGTCCACAGAGGAAAGGTAGTAGCACTAAGGAGAATGTTACCTGCTGTGCTGCGTTGCTTCTCCTATGTACTGAAAATATTATTTTGGCCCTTGTGTAAAGGATTGCTTGGAGAAGAAAACTGGAGGGTCTAATTAGGAAGCTGTTGTATTAGGCTAGGTCTGAGGTGAGGAATTCGTGGCCTTGAGGTCACGTGTGGCCCTCTAGGTCCTCAGGTGTGGCCCCTTGAATCCAAACTTTACAGAACGAATCCCCTTAATAAAAGGATTTGTTCTGTAAAACTTGGGACTCAGTCGAAAGGCCACACTCGAGCACCTAGAGGGCCACTTGTGGCCCTGAGGTCACATGTTCCCCACCCCCTGGACTAGGTAAAAGAAGGTGAGGGCTTGAACTATCAAGTGGTGACTGTGGGAGTGTAAGGTAGGGGACAGAAATGAGATATGTAGTTGAGTGTGTGTGAGTATGTGTGTGTGTGTGAGAGTGTGCAAAATGAGTAAAAGTAGATGTCTTCTATGGAGAAAGGTTTTGAAAGGACAGGTCAGCAGGGAAAAGCAATGAGATTTCCTAAAGATAGGTCTCATTTAATCCTATTGTGAAAACAGTGTCAGCCGTGATGCTTCTAGGATTTTGGGTAC